AAGGTGACGCAGCTCCGTTTTCGGCCGGATCTGTCCGGTATTTTGAGACTTTGTCTCTGCTTCAAGTCTTAATCTCTCTAATTCATACTGTTCTTTCCTTCTCCGCTCTTCCGCTTCTTCCTGTCTCCTACGTTCTTCTCTTTCCCTTTCCTCCCTCTCTTTCCGTTCTTCTCTTTCCCTTTCCTCCCTCTCTTTCCGTTCTTCTATTATTGTGTCTAAGACTCCTTTGACGAATACTTCATCATAATCTCTACTTTCAACAATTTTCTGTTTTAAATCGACTATTTTCAAATCTGCAGTCACATGAACTCCCAGTTCAGCCGCGAGATTTTGCAAATCTTCCTTACGAGCTCTTCCTAAGTAAGACATTGTTTCTATGTTTAAAATTAACGAACACTGTGTTCTTTATATTTCCTCAAAATAGCTCAATTCAATTACTTTAATTAATTAATGCAGTCAGGAATCACGAAATTAAATGCACTTGTTAAGTACGTATACCTCAAAAATGAAATATTTAAATTATATGAAGTTCATTCTCTCTACCACATTAATTGTGATTAAAATAAGAATAATAACATAGAGCAATATATATATCTACCGTCTGCACAACTAAAATGAATATTAAAATATAATATCAAATACGGTAATAAAATAAGACAATTTAATATTAACAGGGAAGTAATAATCTGGTATCGCTAATATTGCGTTCAGTGATGAACTAATAAAATAAAGCAATTCTATATGAACAGGAAGTAATAATCTGGTATCACTAATATTATGTTCAGTGATGAACTAATAAATAAAAAATACGCACGATTATTCGATCTGGTCGGTGCCTCCAAAATAATTAAGACTGTGATACTTCTTTGGCGAAATGAAGCAACTCCAATGATGGAACACAGCAATAACTTTATTTAACACTCAAAAAATGGCGACATACAAACAAGAAAAGAGAAAACATATTCTAACATTTAAAAATAAATTACATTCTTCGTGCGAGAGTCGCACGTGGCACTCGAGTCTGGTTTCAAATATTGCCATTCACAAATAACTTAATGTTCATCTATTTAAATTATTTAAACTACAAGATTTTAATACTATTTAAAGCTGTTACAGAACGCTGCAGCTAAAGTTTTTTTTCGTTTCAAATGAAACAAATGATGAATTTCACGCTTCCGTGTCACTGAGGCGATTTCTTCAACGAAAAAAGCCATAAAAGAGCCACCTAAACGTCATTATTACGCCAAGAGGAAATGATGTCACCTGAAAATATGTCCAATCACAAGTGCGGATTTTTCCCTATGCGCGTGGCGCGGTACAGAAAGCTTATATGCAGGCGGGAGACAGGCCCAAATAGCCATCAATTTTGTGACACAGAGTTGCGCGTTACCTGCCACCAGTCAGACAATTACCGGCGGCAACATTAAGTTTCACTTCCCAGCCAATCAGACCGGTTCTGAGGAGGTCACAACTCCAGGGTCTCGGTCTTATGGAAGTGTATGGCTATAATTTTAAGCCTGACAATGTACTGGTCTTCGATAGTGCTCCCGCAGTAGACGGTTTTCACAAACTATGGATAGAACGGTTTATTAATACCTTAGTTTGCGGACTTAAGTCAATCACCCCTTGGTCCAACCATATTAAACTATCTTCCCTCATGGCTCTGGAACCGAAAGGTTCATTTTTTTTTCCACGGACACAGTGTTGTTCTTCCCTAAAGTACTATTTTAGGTAACTAGTTTTGTTACAAGCCGGTGCCGAAATCTCAAGTCATCGCACAACCGGGATCAACCCCAATTTAAGACTCCATATTAAGCAGAAGGTGAGTCTAGAGGCAAATTTCGCCTCCAACGTGAGAGCATAAGATAATTCACTCTGCTGCCGCCCGTCCTACACTTACAGGCGATAAACTATAATTGAACTCTCTCACCCATGGATATGTATACTCACTCTCGGAGACCAGAGACCACCATGGAGTATAGCTCTTTAAGCTTGAAGATTTGCCTTGTCGTCAAGTTGCTGCCTGCCAGTATTACGCAGGACGCCAGATGACGTGCTAGTCTTACACAGGGTTTACACTACCTTCGCCTGTGGGCCACTCGAATAAACGAGGTCAGGTCCATCTGCTTACACCCACAGGTTACGCAGAACCGCCCATGGAGGTAGGAAAGGGAGGAGGGGCCATTCCGCGCTAGAAGTGAAGCACTGCTTTGAAGCTTGGGTCACCAGACGGGGTGTTCTTTGTTTACATTCAGAAGCTCGCTTGACAAGATTCTGATAGTATTTCGACACACGACAGTTCCATAGAAATCGAAAAAGGGACACTCTCGCATGAAAGAAACATTCATAGTGTGATGGATAATAGCAATTTGTATAGTTTACTGACATTTACGCAAAAATCACATCTTGGTTATTTTCGATAAACTAACAACAGCGATTTTGATTATGAATTTGTTTTATAAAATTCTAAGCAGTTGCACTACAAAAATATAGATTTAAGAAAATTGCTAAAAGAGAACTGCCAAAATTTATTTTCTAGAAGATTTGAAAAGTTTGAAACTTGATGGCTAAATGTAAATATAAAATTATGTATGTTAAATATTTGTAATGAGGCACATAGGTCAGATTAAGTTTTTATTAAATAGAGTAACGCATGCAAGGGCTATCTGTCTAAAGAGAGAGATGCCATCGTGGAGGAATTTTGAAGAAAAACTGACCTTGAGGGGGTATTAAAAAAAATACTTATAATTTCATTCTTCAAATTATATTCATATATATTTTTTATGTAAAACTTTCGGGTGTATGCTAAATTAGTGGAAATTACTTTACACGAAAATATAGTGAATGCACAGAAATTAAAGATTTGCACATGCCGGATATGATAAATGGGAAATATGTATGGGTATTTATGCATGTGCTTGCAAAAAGCATGTATCTGCCTTGACAAAATACTTAAATATTCATTAAATTATTTATAAATGGTATTTGAAATGAAGAATTTCTATTCACTTATAAACAAACTGTGAAAGTACTGTGAAGAAATCTAATGATTAAATGTATCTAATTTATAATGATTATAAATGTTATCTAAATGTATAATAACCTTAATATTGAATTGTAAACATAAATTGAAATCCTGTTGACAAATAGGTTATAAAAACTATTAAGCAAGAATTCTTCGTATTTGGAAAGCCAATCTGTTAAAAGGTATTGTAAAGCAAATGCTATGAGATGCGCACTTAAGAAACGTAATAAAGAGTTTTAGAATATGTATTGTTGAAATGAAGGGTTAAAAAAAAAAATCTGATAAGTATAATTAAAAGAATTATTCCTTTTATATTTTATAATAACTCAGTTACAAGTTTTAAATGATACTTAAAAAAAAAAAACTTAATTTATTCCCTTTCAGAAATGTTCAGAGAAAGTCAAATACTATTTAATACCTATTTAATTATTAGGAATTAGCGAAATACTTATTTAAAGTATTTCGCTAATTCCTAATAATTCTCTAATTTAAAATGAACCGAATAGAGCATTAATTATAAATTGACTTACATTTTTCGATTTAAAAGAAGCCAAAAAAATCATGTCATATTAAGAAAGTATTTTAGGAAGAAGCTCTGTAATAGAAAAGAAAGAAATAATGCATAATTTTAATATTAATAATACAATAAACTTTGATCTTAATTTTTGTACCTTAACCGAATAAAATCGAATTACCTTAATTTTTTTTTTTCTAATGTAATTAACGAAAACTTGTGAAAATATTTCATTCAAATTAAACCATTTTGAGAAAACTGTCCTGTGAAAAGTATAGCATTTAATTCCGTTCAGAATGAAATGTTGTTTAAAAAATATGTTGTTTTCACATACTTAGGACTCTGAAGTGTTGTAGAAAAAAGAAATATATACATTTATATGTATATTTGCGCGACCGTAATTACAAAATATTTACACCCGAACGCGTCAAATCCCATAGAACTCAATGGTAAATGACCCAATGTTTTGGTCACCACGTAGGGATCGCCGGTGCTTCAGAGCAGGGTATGGAGAAACTTGTTTAGGGCGACTCCATCTTACTTCCTACCTCCATGGAACCGCCAAGCTCGTGATTTAATACCACTGTCGCCGAGACTGCCTAGTACAGATCCTAGTCGGTAGCTTCACAGGTTTTCCTCCGTCGAAATCTTTACACGAAAATACGAAAGGACTAGTCTGAACATAAAAGAGGATTATTATAATCGATAATTGTAAAATTTAAAATTGTTCAACTTTAGATAAAATTATAACGGATAACTAAAATAGCTAGCATGTGTAGTGTGCATGGCACAGGAGCGTAGTATAAAAAGGCTAAGACGTTTGTCTTACCTAGAACTTAAATATTCTGGTACTTTTAAATTTCTAAGTTCAAAAAATGTTTGATAATATATTAAGAATCTATATATTGCATGCTAGTACAAATGTATATATATGTAATGATACTTTTAAATCAATTGATTAAATTAAATTCTAATAATACTGCTTAATAATGTGTTGACGATTCTCTACCTAAATTGCATCCCTGTTCCTAAATTTTGGCGAAATCCTTTCTTTAGTATAAAATATATTAACCTGTTGGCGCTCGCCAAATCGCCAAACTCATAAATCTGTCATATTACATAAAGTCCTTAAGAACACTCCTGATGAGAAGATAGCGTCACCTCGTGATTTCAATTAATATCGCTGATTGGATGACCCTCGTGACGCACACATAAGTATAAATAGGGCTTCTGCTCAAGATACGAGAAGAAACGCTTGTGAGATGGATGCTAAAATAAACCTACAACTTTATATTCCAAAATTTGTCTCATTCCTGTTGCCCCGGCTGCACAAAACAAATAATGTATGAGAAATTACATTTCATATATATATATTATATACCTATATATATAAATATATAGCATGCTAGTACATGTAGTATATATATATATATACCTAAACAAGTTCATTTTCCTTTGTAGTCTGCGGAAGTCGTTTACTAGCCGATGAAGGAGGAGAAATTCTTTCACCTAATTATCCACACGGTTCCCACGAATTAATGAACTGCAGCTGGATCATTTATACATCAGAGCCAGGTACAATTATTTTCGATTTTATCATCATTTTACCTTCTTGTTGATGTAAATTCACCATAGAAATATCCACTGATACCCTCACTATCCTCATTGGTCATTACTTGGAGAATCTGATGCACTATATACCTAAAATCCGCAGGTTCTGGGCTATTGACATTTTCTAGAATTTTATTCTACTCCACCGACATAGCAACTAGTCAACGTAGAGATAATGCTTATCATCCTGTTTAAACCCTGCCAGTGATTATAATTTTGGTCGCACGTCCGGTTGAAGGGAACTGTCTTTCTAGTAAAACGCAGCGAATGTAAAGTGTAAGTGGATAAGTCAGCTGTACAGCTAAAGAAGTCTGTTTTCATTGTACCACTATTAAGCCGAAGAGGGCAGTGCATGTACCGTTCTTTTGGTTTTAGTTTACAAATAGAGCTACTATCTTTTGTGAGTTTTCGAAATACTTCATGGTTACAAATACACTCTTGTACTCGTTTGAAAATCAATACATGACAAAGAAAATAGTGCTGTATAATATTTAATAAAATTCATGACATAAACACTTAAAAAATATTGGGCAGTACCAAACTACTGGTGCACCATTACAAATCCATACATGTAGTGGTATGATACAATTATAATATTCGTACAATATTATTATAGACTATTATATTCCAATACTAGTACACTTTACAAATCTGTTGTACATACATTAATTAATACTGTTATCCTGAATTTACACTCAAGACAGAATTTCAAATAGTACTTCAAAAGATATTTAATGTGCGGAGGAAACAAATGATGTCTAATATTATTAGCAGATTGGAGCTTCTTTACTTTTATTATGGCTAGTTACTTCACTGAAGGCTGTTTTAAAACAACAATTGATTGTAAAACAGTAACACGCCGAACAATTGATGGTGTTTACGTCGATGCTTTCGGCTTCCTAGTCAAGCTTTTAAATTTGTATAAGCGTTGTTCGAATGAAAGGGTACAAAACGTCATAACAAACAAACCGGTTGAGATGTCTGGCGTGGTTGTGCGTCTGCGTGAGCGCGCGCACATGACGCAAGAGAGAAGCAGGCAGTTGTGTGGTCCGTCCAAGTGATGCGTGCAAGGACATCATGGCATTCGCATTAAAAAATTCGATAACTGAGCAACAGCGAGGTGTTATCAGATTTCTGACTGTGGAAGAGTTTAACCTGCCGATGTTCATCGCCGGTTCATGGTCGTATGTGGGAGAGACTGTGTATCCGACAAGTTAGTGAGAAAGTGGAGCGCCAATTTTTTAAGGTGTGTTGAAATACAGACTGAGTGTTAGAGTGATGACCTGAAACCAGAACATACAAACATGGAATCATGGCCGACCTCATCGATAAAGTGAACGATCTGATGAGAAAAGACACCTCAAAGGAAAGCGCTTCAACTCGGACGACGAATCGAAGGACACAGTGGAGGACTGGCTCTTGTCGCGGCTATAGGAATTCTGGGAAGAAGGAATTCTTTGGCTCGTGAAACAGTGGGATAGGTGTGTTTAAGCCTCTGGTGATTTCTTGTGAATAAAGACTTAAACAGTAATAATAAATATCCTAAATATTCGCAGTATACTAAATACCCCAGTGTCCTAATACTAAAATATCCATAATGTCGTTTCATTTGAATACCGCTTATACATAAGAATTCTGACGTACCTTTGTGTCTTGCTGAAATAAGAGAGAGGTAACTCCAAGAGTTTCTTTCTGTGTGAGTAGCACGCTATCCTCCAAAATATTCTGCTTTCAAAATATCAATCTAAAATTTCCTTCTATTAGCTTTCTAAATGGAATAATATGAGAATTACAGTAAAATTTTAAAATCCAAAATCTTTTGCGGAATTCTGTAAGATGAAAGGTTGTACTATTTGTGTGAAGGCGGCCCAGTTGTCTCGTAACATAACCTAGAATCAGTTGACCTGCATCACATAAAAGCTAAGGATATTCCAGCCGAAAATACGAGGCGTATTCGGACACATCATGAAAGTAGCGTTTTGGAAATGGCGAAATAATTACAAAATATAACTTTAATAATGTAAATGCTTCAAATTAATTTTAAGTGTAAATTAGAAGCAAGATGGGATATTCATTTGATAATGATGAAATGATTAAAGCATTTATGGAAATGGAAGTTCAAGATGTAATTTGTGTATGGCTATTTCAAAATACCCAAAGCACGTCGCAAAAAAACTCCCATTTCGGAATTATAGTCAACTGAATCGAATTAAATATAATTTTCTTCTAAATAAGGCAGGAAAATTATGCTCGGATTTACAATTGTGATTTGCTTTTTAAAATTTATCATAATAAAGCAACTGATGTAATTTAAGGATGGCCATCTCGAAACATATGGCAACAAGTTATATTTTCATGTAGCATATCTATCCTAGGCGTGGACTGTTAATTAAAATGGTTTCCAAAATAATGTAATTAATGGTTTCCAAAAATTTTTTTTAAATTACAGCCAGTTAAAATTACTTTTAATTAATGATTTCCAAAATAATTTAAAGAACTTAACTGGAAAGGAAACACATTATGAAGTTTAAAATTTAAACTAGGCCAAACAATTCTGGTTGGTTTAGTTTATTATTTCAAAGCACGCTAGGGCTATCTGAGTTATGAAAGGGAGGACTTCGTGGAGGAATTTTTAAGGGGACTCGGTACATTTTGAATGATTTTTTTTATTTAAGCACTTTCATCTACTTTTTATGAATAATATTAAGTGGTTTTATGAGATGAAATGGTTTTAACCTGAAAAAAATTTTTTGCTATTAATTTTCGTTTAATTTGAATTTTTTTTTTTAAAAATTCAACAATTAAAAATTCTTTTTTCTTCCCCAATTTTCAATATTTTTGCTTCAAATTTTTTTTATTGTATTCATAATAGTGTTCTTAATAACTTTCGGATCGATTTTTCAATTAATGAATTAGTTTCTGAGAAAAAAAAAAAAAGCACATTTTTATATAAAAATTTTAAAAAATATGATTTCAGTAACATTTTTACTTCCAATAATTTTCTTTTCACGATTTTTCAATCCCATCCTTGATTCTATTTAGTATATAATTTTAAAAAGCAGTAAATTTATTAAATAATTTGGTCCATATCTGAACAAGTTTTAGGACTTTAAGTAAAAGGATATATTAAAAAATGCAAACTGAGAAATCGCAGTTTAAAGAATGTAAACTGTCTAGACGGTCATTAAATCATTCTAATTCTTAAAAATTTTATTACTGAATTTCAATACATATATATATTATAATAAAACTTAGTACTGCTCAATTGATTAATATGAATATAAATTACACGCTTTTGTTTAAAAAACCTTATCTGGCTAGAAATATTGCAAAAATATCATAAAATGAAAGTAGAATTTCCTTTACCTGTTTTTGTTTTTAAAACCACGCTCAAAACAATTTTAATGCCATCAATTAATTATAATATATTTTCTAAAAACACTTATAATCATTATTAATAATATTAATTTGTCGTTTTTTTTTTTTTCATTTTTTTAAAAAGCAAAATTTGAAATTTTAACGGACATAAAACATTTTATTTTAAAACCACTCAGCTTATGTGATTCTTATCTTATTTTAGCCATTGTTCTCGTATATAAATTCCATTTTAAAATTCATTTATGTGCATTTTAATTAATTAAAAAGTTTAATGTTTGTTCCAGCACTATTTCAATAATGCTACGGTCAGAAAATGTGATCTCACTTTCATTACACCACCTCTTTCTGTTCGTTATCTAATCACAGATATTTCAAACTTTTGAATAAAACATAGCATTTTGTTGACTGAAATACATATAAAAATATTGCTGAGCTCAGTATAAATATATAAACTTGCCAGTTTAAAGCTGAAAAAAAATATTTTTCAACTCTAATTTATATTTAAATAAATCAGTATATAAGCATAAGTAGAATTTTTGATAGTTGGAGTCATATTTAATTACACTCCTCTTCATTTACACTGATTTTTAGTAAGCTACTGAAAAAAATTAAAAAAAAGAAAAAAAAAGTAAAAAAAAAAATAAATAAACCACTGAGGGGGTGTGGCATTTAAAGGGGTGTCAAAATTTTAAAAACCTTTTTATAGCATTTATTATCGTCAGATCATTTCAAAATTCCTCTTCAGTGTAGTAAGTGTATTAAGGTACTTTTTCAACAAAAAATTTAAAAATCGGTAATTTCATTGACTTTTGGGGTACCGAGTCCCCTTGAGGGAAATTGGCTCGTCTACACGTTACACCTGGGTTAAACCACGAAAATGGCCATGCAGCTAACTTGTTCGTCTGGATTCGAACCCAGGTCGAAACGACCAGTATTCAGCGATTTTACCATTTGACCACTAGTGAGCCTAAGCGAGACAATAAAATTCTAAAATTAGAAAACAATAAATTACTGTAGTGTAGGGGTCGCCAACCATTTTATCCCTAAGAGCACATTCTAAAATATCTGTTGCACGGAATGCACCATTTACTTTTTCTTTTGAAGGTGAATTTACAGTTAATACATGCACATAAAAAAAGATATCGGTCGCATTTCGCTTTGTACTGGTATCTGTATTGGACGCAATTTTTATCTCATTAAAAATGAGAAAACTTTCACATAGAATTTTATACTATGTGAACTGAAACATTTTATTGTGATCCCGCAGCAACGGGAGCACGTTAAACGATCGGCGAGCGCCCTGGTGCCCGCAGGCATTGGTTTGTGAACCCCCTGTTGCAGTCTATATATTCTTAAAGAGTTCCTTTTATTGCCTAATTTTAACCCAAAATTGCTCCCACCAAATATTATCATCCTGCGTTATATTTAAAGAAATTAAATAATAAAGAATCTGCATAAATGTATGTATTGTTTCTCGCATTATGATAAAACAACAGTACCTAGAGCCATCCAATTTTGAATAACGTAATCTTACACCGAAAATAGGCATCTGGAAGCTTTAATTTGGAATTTGAAATTTGTTTTACTAATATTTATACTGTAGTAATATTTTGTAACACTTTAACGAATTTTTTATTAGCAAGCTCAACGATTTCAAAGCTAGCAATGGCAAAACTGTACTAGAAAAACATTTTTATATTCAGCGCGCTGTTATTATAGGAGTGTGTATAGGAAATTTCTAAAGATATGCTCAATTTTAAAATTATTTTGCGATATTCCTGTTGAATTGAATTTTATGGTTTAAGTGGAAGGAACATTTAATATATAAAGGTAAGACACAAAAGGTTAGAGGTCCCTTTAGACTTAATGTAAAATCTAAAAGCTTTCACTTCTTTCTATGATAGTCTCTTAGACAAAACTCTGAGCTGATTTCATAGAAAAAAAAATGAAAGATGTCTCAAAACTTTATTTTAGTACTCAACAGTTTTATGAGAGTGGGCTTCTAGTCCAAAACCAATATCAGCTCTTTATCTTTTCCTTTTCTCAGCAGTTTCCACTTACGCCATCTACTCCATACGGATGCCACAAAATTCAATTAAACTTTCCACCGTTTTCTCTCTACTGTGTTTAGCTTTTTATCTTGGATTTAAGGATTTTTATTGGCTTTTTGTTACGATGTCGTTCACGAAATACTGTAAGAGATTTTAAATTAGCAATACCTGTGGTTAAAGTACGGATTAATTCATTTTACATTAATTCCTGTAAAAAAAAAAAAAATCGTTTTAGCTAACTAACATTTTAAATGACGAATGGCCTTCATGAAAGAATTAAGTTCGTGAGTTGAGTTCGTGAATAATTAATTCAAGTGTTATTTAATTAATTGTAACTTATTTGTTTTACTTTTCAATTAACAGAACTAATATGTAATTACTTTTATGTTCCTAAAATATGTTCCACTTCTATAGGTGAAAAGGTGAGTCTTCTTGTGACTCATCTGGAAATAGCAGTATCGGATAATTGTTCTTTTGCCTCGTTGACCATAAAGGATGGAGATATGCCGGATTCACCTGTGTCTGGGCTGTACTGTGGCTATAGTTCTCCTCCTCTTATTATGTCAAGAGGAAGCATTCTGCAAGTCAATCTTCAAAATCGTGGGATCTTTAGAGCAACTTACGGCCCTGCATCAACACGTAAGTTACAGAAATAAATAGAAAAAAAATTATTTGTTTCTCAAATAGTACTAGTATTTATCATAAACTTTCAGTTCAAAAGGAGTGTATTGAAGGAAACAATATGCGCTGCTAGCCACAGTTATAAGAATAAGCATTATTGTAGACCAAAATGACTGAAGGAAAACATTGAAAGAAACAATACGCGCCATAAGCCACAGTATAGGAATAACCTTTTTTGTAGACCAAAATGACTGAAGGAAGAAACTGAAGAAAACACTACGCGCTTGTAAGCCACAATAGGAATAAACTTTATTGTAAACCAAAATAACTAAAGGAATGTAAATAAAGCAATTCAAATTGTGAGAGATTTTTGTATCTCTAGAAACATATGTATGTACACCTTGCACAAAAAGAAAGGGAGTACAGTTATACATCTCAAGTTCTACAAGGCCGATTTGATAAAATGTAACTTTCGTTTTTCATGTCTCGAAAGCCTATTAGATTTACGTATAGCATTATTCTAATGCAGGTATTTTGATACAAAATGGAACTTTTGCTAAAATGACATGCCTATATTTTTCTATATTTCAATTTTACGACTCAAACTATGCCTAAGTGCCAAGTTTTGTAAAAATCCCGTGGGTGTATTTTAAAAATATAGCTCTCAAATTTTAGTTTCTAAATGTTAATTGAACTTGCTATATGTTTATTAATATCTTTTTTTTTTTTTTTTTTTTTTTTCTGTTAACTTACTTGATTCCTTCTTTCAAAGTTCAAAATTTAGGTTCAATCTAAATAAAATTCGCCACAGTTTTTCGATTTCTTTAATGTGTATTTTTATAAATTTTTCGAAAATCTTTTGAGTTATAGCTCATAAAATGTTTGCCATCACCTTAAAGTAGGTGTATTTCTAGGTTTACCTGCAAAAAATCAGAGTCTTTTATTCAAACTTTCCAAGGATATACACGTGAATTCATATATCTGCGCCTTTTGAAAGTTGATATATTTGTCATAAGCGATAAAAACGCCAGATGCGCTTTACGCACTTTGCTAAAAAGTATTTGAAAGAATGAACGATTCACCCTTTTTTTCCGGTCGCGCCATAAATACCATAGGTTACCATAAATTAAAATTTTCGCCAAGAGAATATTTTTGGCGCAAACTGGAAAAAGTTCCCCAATGTATATTTTTAAATTTTTCTGTAAGTTTCTCCCCAAATTATACAAAATTTATCATTTCGGTATAACTTGAGTCGCAAAATAGAAGAACGGAAAACAAATCGGTATATCGTTTCAAAAAAAGCTCTACTTTGTGTCAGAATACCTATGTTAGAAAAATCCTATACATAAATCAAATAAATAAATAAATAAATAAATATTACGTCAATCTTTCGAGACATAAAAAACGCAAATTAAATATCGTCAGTTGGCTCAGAAGAACGGGAGATAAAGAATTGTCTCGCTTCCCCCCCCCCGCTCTTTTTTTTTTTTTTTTTTTTTTTTTTTTTTCCTCGTTTTGTTTTTGCTTAAGGTGTACGTAGGCTGTGTGAAATAGAAATGCAAAATATTAAATAACTGTAAAAAATAGCTTTAAAAATTACATATTCAATAGATATTGTAATCAGAGAGGCAACACCTGATTTCCATCACGATCTCTAATCTTGCTTAATTACTTCACCCCAGTGATCATTTAACCATTCTGATGGCAGTATAATAAATTTGATAATGTATGAGCGAAATAAATTTTAAAACATGGTGCACTATCTTTTTATCCATGTACAAGTAAATCATTTTTAAAAAGGTTAATAAATCTTTAATATTAAAAATATTTTATCCATGTACAAGTAAATCATTTTAAAAAAGGCTAATAAATCTTTAATATTAAAATATTTACTGAATATCTGCTGCATACCATCTTTTGAAATGCCATATATTTATTTATAGACATTATATTTACTTGTCCAACAAATGTTTTTAATACCTATTTTATATCGGTAAGAGTTTACAACAGGGTTCCTTAATATTTTTTGGCGATTTTTATGACACCAAGTATGGCGCCGAAAAGCAAAATTTCCAAGATGGCTGTCACCCAAAACAACGCCGAAAATGTATATTAAAGTAACAATTAAAATTCCAGTAATTCAAAATAGTGCCCAAAATCAAAATACATCATTTGTAGCACGCGATACACATACTATAAATCGCATAACCCTGAATCATTAAATTCAGAAATTCTAGTTAGATTAACAAAAACATTAGCTCGTAACAAAAAATGGCTGCTATAACACTGGAGAAACAGAGTTGATTTTGGGTTACCAAAAAAAACAGTAATAGCATTAGTATTTGGCGCTAAATCAAAGGCACCCTTTTCTACATTAGAGCTTAATTATCTTAAAATAACCAAAGGACACTGAAATTAACCTTACGTAGAAGCTTGAAAAATCCTGTATACTCAATCTTATCTTATCTTCTTGATCCTTTAGACTGTGGAGGAGCTTTCAAATCTCCCGAAGGAACATTTGCAACTCCAGGATATCCGTTAAATTATCCTCTAGACACGGAATGCATATGGACTATAGAAGCGTCTGCTGGCAGCAACGTTCTCATCTCCTTCACGTAAGTATGAATGTGAAATGAAAAGTTAACACATAATTAATCAATTTTTTTTTAATTTTGAAATTTCCTAAATATTTTACCAGATTAATTTATGTTTCGACATTTATTAATCTATTAAATATCATTATTAATTCGGTTATTTGAAAATCATAAAAATCCAACTGAATTATAAGAAAGTTACCTTATACACATATATAATTTATAGCAAATGTTGTATTATCGACTTTTTATCACATCGCGTTCTTTCTAGCTAAATTTGAGTCAACAAAGTGTGCAAATAAAGTAATGAGACTGAAAACGTAGCGCTGGATTTGGCAATACTGTAGAATTCCCGTTCGTGAGGAAGGTTGAGGAAACATGAATTTGAACGGCGTACGGTTATGTAATGTTGTTGTTTATGCTCATCTGTCTCACGTAGTAAGCCCAAGTCCATGAAAATCCTCCTGGCAAGAAGTGCTACAATACGCCTGCCGTTGGCAACAGCCTTGAGCACCAGTCAGGTGACAGTGCGATTTATCTCAGTTCCCCCCCCCATTTTGATAGACAGCACACCTGTGGGACGGGACCGAAGGTCACTCCACCAAACCACACAAAAGGACTTTCGGCTGGCTTCATACTTGGTTTGCCCCCCAAGCCGCACCGACACTGTACATTTACAAACAGGGTTCGAACTTGGGCCCTTCATCACGGCAGTCAGCGATGCTAAGATCTATACCGGTCGGTCGGCCAGTTACGTACTTGTCTCTAGAATAGTTATCGTAAATTGTTTCTTCTGTTGCGTTCTAAAAACAGATGGCATCATTTTCGAGCAAAGTTGTGCTATCAGATATTGTTTCATAGTTGCACATAGTACGACAGAAACTTCTGCTATGCTTCAGACCTATGAAGACAATGTTTAGTAAAGGCTCAGTTTTTCGGGTGGTTTAAGCATTTTCAAAAGGAAGGGTATGGATTGAGGAAGACCCTTGTTGGTGAAGGTCTGGAACTGCAAGAACTGACAAAAATATTTCCTTAATCCGGGATTTTGTGAGTTGTGATTGATTTTCAGATTGATTGGAGAAAGATGAATTTGAATCATACCAACATTCATTAGATTTTGACAAACAAAATTGGGGCTTAGTAAAATCTGGGAGGAACTTTTTGCCAAAACCCTTTTGCAGGAACAAAAGGGGGGACGATTTCCTTTATTTTCTGGAACTGTTTGAAAATGATTCTCATTTTCTGGAACGTGTCATTGCTGGTGACGATTTCAGTACGACCCTGAAACGAAGTTTCAAAACCTGAAATGGGACACTACAAACTCACCAAGAGAAAAAAAAAATGATGTGGACAGCTCCGTGTACAGCCTATTAAATTATACAAAGATGTGTAGCAAAAGTGTATTAAATTATACACTTTTGCTACACTTCTTTTAAACTTATTTCATTTTAATATTCTTTTTAGAGCAGCAATAAATGATATATTAAATATTGCTAAATAGCATTTACAACAATAAACTGAAATTACATATTTTTAGACTAACTACATATAAAAAAGGTTATTTTTTATATATACATGGTTAGATTTCGTTATTATTTCGTTATTATTAATTAATTTTTTTTAATCTGACATTACCAAGATAGGAATATGTTCCCCATTTAAAACCCTTCTGTAATTGGAATGTATGATTACGCTCAGCGATTGCGAAAACTAAGGACTTCAAACGCAAGTAAGGGACTTTTAAGCCAGATAAGGAAAGTTCTTTTTTTTCTGACCTCGTACGTATGTCATGCAAAAAAAATCTTGCAAATGGATTCGGGAACGATCAAAATGGATATTTCCGTTGAAATATGATACCTGAAATTTTTCACGTAACTTCCTTTGCTAAAGTGTAAAAGGCGTACTGGTTTGTTTTTTCAACTGCCAGGAAATCATTTGCAAAGAGTTTGTGCCTCCAGGGCGAAAATTAATCAGCACTTTTAGTGAGAATTTCTTGAAAGACTTCTAAAAAGGGCCATGCATGTGAGGCCAAGAATGAGAATCAACTGGATGCTGCATTATTGCAACGTGCTTTGTCACGCTGCACTGTCAGTTATGAATTCTGGGCAAGTAAACGAATCCCTGTGGCTATTCAATTTCCTTACTCGCCAGACTTGAGGTCAAATACCTTTTTCTATTCCCAAGATAGAACGAAATCTAGATAGAAATCTCACTTCAAAGGGCACTAGAAAGCAACCATAACTGACTAGCTAAACCGTATTAAACAACCGTACCCGACTAGCTGAAGATAATTCCAAAATCTGATTACAGGATTTCTATGAAGATTAGGAAAATCATTTCTAAAGTTTTGTGTCTTCCCAAAGCGATTATTTTAAATGAGAGATTGTGAGATTATAATTTTAATCGAATAAAAGTTTATAAAAATTCACTCTCTTTACTTTATTTACACACCTTGTAAGAAGTGTGATTCATTTAACGTAGCCCATCTAAGAGCGTTGAAAATCTAAAATTATAACATATGGTGTGTTTATCTGTGTGTGATATATTTAAGAAAATTCATGATCTATATATGAGTACACATCATGTTCTGAGTCAAATTCTGAGTTTTAAATTCTGCTAATGGGAAAACATCAATCTTGTTTATCGAAACTCTTCTTTCCATTATCTGTTTTTCTTAGTCCATTTGTAAGCCAGATAAACAACATTCTGATTTATTGAAGCTGTAAACAATTCCAAAAATGTTCTTTGAGGTTTAAACATTAAACATAAATATACCTAATACATTATGAATCCATGTATAATGCAAATTAAAATAAAATACATAAATCTGAAGATGCTTTACTTTTTATAAAGAAGTAGCTAAGTAAAAAAGCCATGTTTCTGAATTATATATGTATTAACTGCGAAACCTTAATCGTAAACATTTTTAATTGTTAATTTTAAAACATTTTCTTCTAACAATTAAAACATAACATCTATTACAAAAAGACAATTAAGTACAAAAGTAAAAGACTTTCTGATCTTTCATTAGGATATAACTTGTTCTGATGCCACCTGAAAAAAAATATGTATTAAGTATTTTATAATTAATTGCAACTTTTAAATGTTTTAATAAGATGAATAAATATTTACATATGTGAGAAAAGATTAGTCTCAATTTCGGACGTAAGCGAAGATCAATTCTCAAAAGTTTTAGAGTACAAAATGTTTTATAAATTTTAATAAACTACAATAAATATATGTAATAGTAAAATGACGGAGTACCAAAAAGATAAATACTTTGAGAAATAGTGCTAATAATTTAGGAGAAATTCAGTTATAAAAACAAAAGTGCTTTTATATCTTTGTATGTTCTTGCATCAGAACATACAAAGATATAAAAGCACTTACTTAAATGCAAAAATATGCATCAAATTTATGACTAATTAAAATCTTTCGAGGAAAATTGTCAGTTATTACAATAGACGCCAAGTACAAATATTGAAGAGACACACATATTCAAAAAGGGTTTAGAATTTTGCAATTTGCATTTAAATCAAAGGTAAAACGCTAAATCCTAAAACAGCTGATCGTTAGTGATTGCCAATTTGTAGTTCTTCAATGGCGAACAGCCTCAATGGATATAAGTGTTCTTCAATTAATTTTAATTTTAGAATGCTAATTAAACTTAGTTCACCGTTTTACAGTGGTCACCTGTTTGATGACCATAAGTGACTATCAATTTCTTCATAACTGGTGACAACACCCATGACGGTCACCTCAAATCGGATATTGTTTTATCGGTCAGTCCATAAGTTGTGCGCATTAAGAGTATGCGTGCAATTCACTATGACGCATTTACTAAAACAATACAATATTTTGAACCTGTTGAAACTTGCCATCGTTTGACTAACATATTATTCAATTCATCACCAACTTTCGTCAATATCGAACGCATTTTAATACCCATAGAAGATGAATATAGATAATCAGTATAAACGTGTGCTATGTTACATTTTTTATTTTCGTGTTGTGAATCTGCCAGGTTTGCAGCGATAAAAATTAATAGTGTATATGCTGAACACATGTAAGGACTGCCCAGAAATGGTTTCAAAAATTTTAAATTGGAAAAAGCAGCATTGATTATGAACCCCGTTCAGGACGTTTTGAACTGTTAGAACCAAATTAAACGATTCGTTCAGAAGTTTCTAGTGAACAACTTTGCCGTCTAAACTCAGAATTGAACAAAAAAACGGCCACGATTGGTGAATATCAAAAAAGTATTGTTTCATCACGATAACGCTAGACCGCATACGGCTCGAACAACGCTGCAAAAATTTAGTGAATTTAATTGGGAGCTTTTGGTACATCCTGCTTACTGCCCAGATATTGCCCCAAGAGATTTGCACTTATTTCGTGCCTTACAAAATTTTTTACTGGTAAAAAAATTCGATTCTAAACAGGATGCACACAATGAACTTTCAAGTTTTTTTGCATCGAAACCAGTCTTTCTACAGCAATGGCATAAAAAAGCTGCCTGTAAGATGGCGATACATTGTAGATAATGGAGTAAAATATATAATTGATTAAAATGTTAAATTGTGTTTTTTTATATTATTTAAAAATTTACAAAAAAAATGCTCACGAAATTATGGACTGACCGAATAGTAAACTATACAAATGATATAATTTTAAATATACATGTTCAATGATAAGTATTTAATTAATTTTTATATTAACGTTTACACAATTATTTCAAGAAATAAAAATTATTTTTCTTATATAATCTATACGTGGTAGAGAGCTGTTGTGTTTTTTCTTTCTTTTGTGTTTCCAGTTCATACTGGGGAATGTTTTCTGCAGTATTTTATACTTTTTACATAAATCTTGTTTGCAACTTGTCTTCCTTTGCAGACAGAAAGAAAAGTACTTGTTAGCTCAGAATGGCTGTTAGTGTTAGAATGGCATTTTGAGTTGAACCGCTAAAAACTGTTGAATAAGTTTTGAAATCATTGCCACCAAATATTATCGCCCTATACCAT